CCTTTCTGTGTTTCCTGTCTAGAGAAGATCCTTTAGTATTTGTTGAAGAGCTGGTTTGGTGGTGCTGAATTCTCTCAGCTTTTGCTTGTCTGTAAAACTTTTGAATTCTCCTTCATATCTGAATGAGATCCTTGCTGGGTACAGTAATCTGGGTTGTAGGTTATTCTCTTTCATTACTTTAAGTATGTCCTGCCATTCCCTTCTGGCCTGCCTGAAGGGTTTCTATTGATAGGTCAGCTGTTATTCCTTATGGAATCCCTTTGTGTGCTATTTATTGTTTCTCCCTTGCTGCTTTTAATGTTTGTTCTCTGTGTTTGATCTTTGTTAATTTGATTAATATGTGTCTTGGGGTGTTTTGCCTTGGGTTTATCCTGTTTGGGACTCTCTGGGTTTCTTGGACCTGTGTAACTATTTCCTTCCCCATTTTAGGGAAGTTTTCAGCTATTATCTCCTCGAGTATTTTCTCATGGCTTTTCTTTTTGTCTTCTTCTGTGACTCCTATGATTCGAATGTTGGGACGTTTCACATTGTCCCAGAGGTCCCTGAGGTTGTCCTCATTTCTTTTGATTCTTTTTTCTTTTTTCCCCTCGGCTTCATTTATTTCCACCATTTTATCTTCTACCTCACTTATCCTATCTTCTGCCTCCATTATTCTACTGTTGGTTCCCTCCAGAGTGTTTTTGATCTCATTTATTGCATTATTCAGTTTTAATTGACTCCTTTTTATATCTTTTAGGTCCTTATTAAACATTTCTTGCATCTTCTCAATCTTTGTCTCCAGGCTATTTATCTGTAACTCCATTTTGTTTTCAAGATTTTGGATCATTTTTATTATCATTATTCTAAATTCTTTTTCAGGTTGATTCCCTATCTCCTCTTTTGTTTGACTTGGTAGGCATTTTTCATGTTCCTTTATCTGTTGGGTATTTCTCTGCCTTTTCATCTTGTTAAGATTGCTATGTCTGGAGTGGGCTTTCTGTATTCTGGTGGTCTGTGGTTCCTTTTTATTGTGGAGGTTTCAGCCAGTGGGTGGGGTTGGATGATTGGCTTGTCAAGGTTTCCTGGTTCGGGAAGCTTGTATCAGTGTTCTGGTGCATGGAACTGGATTTCTTCTCTCTGGAGTGCAATGGAGTGTCCAGTAGTGGGTTTTGCGATGGGTCTGTGTGTTAGGTGTGACTTTGGGCAGCCTGTATTTTGACTCTAAGGTCTATGTTCCTGCGTTGCTGGAGAATTTGTGTGGTATGTCGTGCTCTGGAACTTATTGGCTCTTGGGTGGTGGTTGGTTTCAGTTTAGGTATGGAGGCTTTTGGATGGTCTCTTATTACTTAATGTTCCCTGTAGTCAGGAGTTCTCTGGTGGTCTCAGGTTTTGGGCTTAAGTCTCCTGCCTCTGGATTTCAGTCTTATTCTTCCAGTAGTCTCAAGACTTCTGCAACTATACAGCACTGATAATAAAACTTCTAGGTTAATGGTGAAAATATTCTCCACCATGAGGGACACCCAGAGAGGTTCACAGAGTCATATGAAGAGGAGGAGAGGGAGGAGGGAGATAGAGATGAGCAGGAGGAGAAATAGGGGGACTCAAGAGGAGAGAGACAGATCTATGCAGTTCTCTGTTCCCAAAGTGTTCTCTGTAGCCCAGACACCCACAGAGATTCACAGAATTGGATTGGGAAGAGAAGGGGGAGGGAGGAAATAGAGGTGATCTGAGGGAGAAAATGGAGAGCCAAAAGTGGGAGAGAGTAATCATCATACTCCTGAGTAAAAATGGGTACTGAATATTGGATTCTTAAATGTCCAAAATTGATATCAAATACTGAAAAACAAAGATCAAAAATCTAGAGTAGAGGTTTGACTCTTAAAAATACAATATTAAAAACAAAAGCAAAAAATTTTAAGAAATATTTATGAAGTTCAGTTTAAAAATAGCTCCTCTTCTTTTTTTTTTTCAAGGTTATAGTGAAATGAAAATGAAAATGAAGGAGTAATAGAGGAGTAATAGAGGACTTTAAAATAAAATAAGAGTAAAAAAATAAAAAATAAAATAAAAATTTTTTTCTAATTAAAAAAATAGTTAAAATATATGAAAATGAAAGTTAAGGAGTAATGGAGGAGTAATAGGGAATTTTAAAAGGAAATAAAAGACAAAAAATAAAAAAGAAAAGAAAAAATATTTTTAATTTAAAAAAAAAGTAAAAATATATCTAGGAATGTCTCTGGAGCTGTTGCAGTCAGTGTGGGTTCGGTTCAGTTTCAGATAGCTCTTCGTTCCAGCTTACACTTCTCAATATCTATAGGCCCCTTCCGGTGTAGTTGGTGTTACCTATAGGGATTTTAATCTGTTGCACCGGTCGCTTCTGAAGCGGTTCCCTTTGTTTATTTGGCTTCTGTTTGCAGGTCTCTTCAGTATCTATCTAATTTCCGCTCTGACACAAGTGGGCGGAGGTGGTCTCTTGTTTAGGTTCGCTTGTTCAGTCGTGCTGCGGGGAGGGAGGGGCGCTGCAGACAATAGTCACTGGTGTGTGTGGGGAGCACTCTCAGTGTTAGGGCCACACTGGGTTTGCCCCCACTCACGGGTGTGTGCTTTCCCGTCTACACTGCTCAGGCTCCCGACTGCTCTATGTGGAGCAGGCCCTGCGTTGCTGTTAGTTCCAGTTTTCGGGTATTCCACAAAAGCACGGACTCGGTTGGGCCTGAGTTTTGTGCCTTCCCCGGCCCAAGCAGCTCAGGCAGCCAGAAGCTTGACGGGTGCACTCTCCCTGGGTGCAGTGCGCCTTATCCCCTCCGCAGTCCCAGCCTCAGTTTCCCTGCGCGCAGGTCTGGTGCACCTTATGTCTGTTCTCGGGAGCTGGCTTCTAGCCGCGACCCTCCCAGTGGATGTCGACCATCCAGAATCTCAGGAAGTCTTTGGTTAGAAACTGGGAGCCTGTTTGCAATTTGGTACCCCCTTGATTCTTATCCCTCATCATTTTATAAAGTCTCTGTAGCCTCCTGCAAGATAAGTGATCATAACTTCCTCTAGACACCTGGGTTTTGCTAACAGTTCTTCTTTAGGAGGGGCTTCCAAGGTGGTGCTAGTGGTAAAGAACCCACCTGCCAATGCCAGAGGCATAAGAGACAGGGGTTGGATCCCTGGGTGAGCAAGATCCCCTGGAGAAGGAAATGGCCACCCGCTCCAGTGTTCTTGCCTGGAGGATTCCATGGACAGAGGAGCCTGGAGGGCTATGGTCCATGGGGTCTCAAAGAGTTGGAAACAACCAGCAACTTAGCACTCATGCTTCTCTAGGAGATGCACAGATAACAAAGTGATGTCAGTATTTTCTTCTGTTAAAACACAACTTATCACTCATCCCAGACAGAAATCACAGTCTCACTATCTGCCCATGACAACAGCAAGTTACATCCTTGTTCATGGTGGGGGAATGAGAACCATAAGAAATCCTCCCTTCCTGGGAGCCTGCACCCCTCCTATTCCCTGACAGGCAGGAGTCTGACCCTGGTGCTCATGGTCAGTGTGCTCTTAGAGAAGATGGCAGGAAATGAATGGGCAGTCATGTGACACCAGATCCCAAACCCACAAGAACTCACTCAAAAGAAAATGGATACTAAGACCACTGTCAGATTCTAAAAGGATGATGTGTGTCACATGTCACAGTGACCTCCAAACACCAGGACAGGTATCCAGCAGGGCAGTTATGAAAACATCCATCAGGTTCCCAGAGTGGAAGTCAAGACTATTCAAAGACTCCTCGTCTGCTGGGTCCTGAGGGCACAAGGTTGGTGCAGTACCAGGTGCTCCGTGACCCACACAGAGACTCCTGGCGCAGGTGCACGGGGAGTCCCACGATGCGGGAGACGGCAGACTGTCCACTCCCTTACTCATCTTGCCCCTGTCCTATGTCTGGCTCTGATCCAGGGTAAGGGATGTACTGACTCTATCCCAGCCCTTAGGTTACTCATCTAAGGAGGAGATAGCACACATGTTGCTCATCAGACTTCATCTTGGTGAGGACTCTAATGAGGAATTAAAATTTGGAATGCTACTGACTCAAAATTACTGAATAATACTCATCCATGAAAAACAATGTAATACTTCCATTTGTGGAATATGTACGGACCTAGAGAATGTGTATGGACCTAGAGAATATTATTCTTAGTAAATTAAGTCACAGAAAAACATATGATATGACATCACTTATACATAGAATCTAAAAGATAATATGGCTCAGAGACATAGAAACAAACTTAGGGTTACCAAAGTTGGGGGAGTGAGAGGGAGGAACATATTAGGAGTATGGGATTTATACACACTACCACTTGAAATAGGTGAGTAACAAAGATTTACTGTAAAGCACAGCGAATTTTTTCAGTAGTTTATAATAGTCTGTAATGAACTATAATCAGAAAAAATAACTGAATCTCTATACTATATACCTGACATGAAGACAATATTGTGAATCAACTGTGCTTCAATATATTTTAAAAATATGAACAATTTCCACCTGGAAAGATGCCAGAAGAATTTGGAGGGAGACATGTTTGAGGAGGACCTTGATAAAAGAAGTAGTAAAGAATTCTAGCTGTGATTTGAATGAGGTCAAAGAAAGGTTCAAAGAGAATCTTTCATTTCTAGGTTTTTAAAGTGAAGGTTGGTGTGAGCAGGAGTTTAAGGATCACATGGAGAATCCTCTCCAGAAGGGATGTTGTCCCTCCTCCCCCAGGCAGCCCACCAGGAAGCTACCGGTGTGCCCTTTGGCAGGACATGTGACCATAAAGCCCAGGAGGCAGTGGGTTTCCTTGCATCCAGTCTCCCTGACTTTCTCTGTCGTGTGTCTGCCTCTGCTTCCCCAGCACGGAGCCCAGTGTTTTCCCACTTAGCATCTTCTCTTCGGGGACTCTGGACCATCCGGGCATACAAAGCCGAACAGAGGTTTCAGGAAGTGTTCGACGCATGCCAGGACTTGCACTCAGGTCTGTACGTTTCTGAAAGTGATTTCAAAGGATGGGATGTGCTGCCTTCTGAGGCCTGACCTCCCTCTCAGGTGGTCTTGCTGTCCAGCTCCTCTTTCTATGCACCCCATTGTCCTTCTCTGCACACCTGCCTCCCTTACCCCTTCCTCTCAGCATCCCCTCTCTGCACCCCTTTTCCCCCTCTCACGTGCTCTGCTTTTCTCCCCTGACTGCCTTGCATTGTCCTTCCATCACTGTGCCCTGTGGCTTTCTGTCCCTTGAGGACAGGAGTCAGCAAACTTTCTTTTGGCAAAAAGCTGGATAGAAAATATTGTAGGCTTTGTGCACTGTATAGTCTCTATTGTAACTGCTCACTATGGAGACAGGCAAAGATGATATTTCAACAAATGGCTGTGGCTACATTCCAATAAAACCTTACTTTCAGAACCCAACGGTGGTTGTTCTTGGCCCCCAGCCTGTAGTTTGCCAATTCTGTTTTCAGAGCATGCACGGTGGCTGACATGATTGAGGAAAATAATTTCCTGATCATCAGATTTGCTGCCGACTTGATGTGTGTTATTCTTTGTATCTCTGAATTTTTTTTTTCTAGGTAGAAATTTTAAAATTTCCTCTAAGTCTGTAAAAATTTGGCCTATCTTTCCAATCTTTATTGTGCTTTGAAGGTAAAATGGCATTTCAAAAGACACATGCCAATCTGATTAGCTCATGGTCATTTAGATACTGGCTCCTGAGAATAAACACTGTGCAGGGCTCTGTAGTAAATGCAGAAGGTGCAGAAAACAGCAGAGCTGTCTGTCTGCTGTCTGAGAGCTGGAAACAGTTGACCCTGTGAGAGGATGGTCTTCACACTGAAGCCCAGCACTGCAGGAAACACAGCAGTGAGACCATTTCCCATCTTCTTTATTAGAATTATGTTTCTGTTTATAACCCGTGGGTTGAATTTTTTGGTTCATGCTCCCCACAAAGCCCCTGAACTAGTTCCTATGTTTCCCATATGCTGTCTTGTGTCAAAATGTAGCTTTCAGGAATCTTCAGGCTCCTTAGGTGTGTATCTTTGCTGTTCTACCTTTGTGAAAATCTCTTATATTTCAACTGAGCAAAATGCTCTCCCTTTTTAGAAGCAGCTAACATGGTTTTTCTATTTATATACTATGCTTATTACGGTTCACAAATCCAGAGGCTTGGTTCCTGCTTTTGACGACGTCCCGATGGCTCGCTGTGTATCTAGATGTAGTCTGTGCCATCTTTGTCACTGTTGTTGCCTTTGGGGCCCTGATTCTGGCAGAAAGTAAGTACAGATTTGAATAATGGTTTGTGGTATGCTTACAGTTTATAGTTTTGTTTACAGTTATTAAATTATTTCCACCTCTTCTAATATACTGTTTGGTTCTAATGAATTGTTTTAAAGTGTTTGCAGCGTATGATTCCACAGTGTGGTCCATATGAAGTCATTTGTGTCTTAATATGAGACTTTTTATCATTTTATCTTTTGTTGAATGGGTTGAAGTCTACACAACTGTAGCAAGTTGATCTTCTGAACATTCTAGGTAGTATCTTGTAGTTGGGAGGAGAGAACCAAGTTTACCATTAAGCTTTTCCTTCAGCTTAGAGGTTAGGTTTTAGCTTTAGGGCTACACAAATCTCTTGGTTGTAGGTGCCTGGTACACTAGGTTAAGAAAGATTTTCTGCAGCGAAGAACAGTGTCCAACTGTGTGGGTACCAGATGAGTTGTTGGTGTGTGTGGCATGAATTCACCATCCCTAATGATTCCATATTAACTGCATTGAATCGTTAATATGGAACAATGAAAGTTGTATTTTAGATTTAAAAGCACTTGCACTTAAAACCTATTGCCTTGTTTTTGTGGTTTCAACTGCAGCTGAGTTGGATATGTAGAAAGTTATATTACCTAATGGTTCTTGCAGCCATAATGACGGAAGTCTGAATAATGACTTGATTCTTCACCAATATGATATTGTCACATATATGTCAGTCCTGATGGGATTAATAAACACATGTCACAGTCTTTCATAGTCATTTTTCCCACTGTATTATGATCTCAATCCACATAGTAAAAGTATGAATAATACGATCACGACATGAATGACTGAAATATGATAAAGGAGTCTTCTTTGTAAAGTTACAGAAGGAGCTGGGCAAGGGTTTAAAAACCATTCTGAATTGATTCCTCTTCTTCCTTGTTTAGGTTTGAACCCCGGGGAGGTTGGCCTGGTGCTCTCTCTTGCCCTCACACTCATACTCACGGGGATGTTCCAGTGTTGTGTCAGGCAAAGCATCGAAGCTGAAAATATGGTGATGTTTACCTTGTCATTCTTAGCCTTTTCAAATCTCCTGGCCATTATTAGCTGTCATAAAAGCAATTCTTAGGTAGAACCATAAAATTCTTGTTTTTACATCATGATTAACAGAGGTTTTGTTTTTTTTTTTTTTGCATCCTCTTCCATCTATTTAAAGTTAATATAAAATACTATATATATATATATGTGCTTTTCTCAATCTTATGTGTGCTGTGTCAGCAGGTCTTATATTCATCACAAACTGTCTTCAAATATAATAAATATCTCTGCAGGAGAAATGTTCTGAAATCCTAGAGAGAATAAAAGCTAATTTCTTAGTGGCTTTTTTATCTTTATTTCTTAATAGATAATTCCTCATTGTTGGTTAAGATAAAGGATTCAGTATTTTGAGATTTGTTTATTTAATTAGTAGATTCCTCCACTCCCATTTTAGCATCTGAATTTCCTGATGTCTCTTCTTGCTGGCCAGATAAGCTCCCTCTCAGAATGCTCTATTAGAATTGTGGAGTTTTGCCACTTTAACAGACCTTAGTCAATATGTAAATTATAATCTCTTTTGAATATTTGCACCTTCTCCCAAAGGGAGAAAAACAAATAAAAATTAAAACATTCCACTTCTTGCTTTTAATAAAGTAGCGAGTGACTAATTATTAAAATTAGGTTTGGTAGCCATCCAGTTTTGCTCATCTATAGCAGATGGTTCTTCTGTAGCTGCACATTACTGATTGGTGTCCATAAGTATTCTTTTCTTAAACAAAATTCCCTTATTTCTTTATTCAGGTGTGAAAAGTGGATCAATAAAATCTTTGCATTCATTTCTCTAGTTCTTTTAGTTTTCATACAATATTGAAGGAAGTACCTGTAAATGACAATGTTACAAGACTATGAACAAGTTTGCGAATTGTCAAAGGCCTCATAAAACTCCTACTTCTCTCCTTTGTGGATGCTAAGACCTGAGATCTTCTGAACCATGGAAAAGCTGATATAAATACATAAAAGCAGAAGGTTTCGTTTACAGTCTCTGAACATCCATAAGCAACATCCTCCTTTCCTAACTCCTGTGTTGTCTTATGTGTTTCAGATGATTTCAGTAGAAAGGGGGATTGAATATACAGAGTGTGAGAAAGAAGCGCCCTGGGAATACAACTTTCGACCACCACCAGCCTGGCCCTATGGAGGAGAGATTGACTTTTACCATGTGAACTTCAGATACAGCTTAGATGAGCCTCTGGTATTGAAGGACCTGATACCACACATATTCGCAAGTGAAAAGGTTTGTTTAAGCCATTTGCCTCTTTAAAATCCAGCTAAAAATTTAGTGCTATATCCACTGTTGGCTTCCTTGTCAGTGAGTCCAGAGGATTCTCTTGGGTGCAGATTAGATCAATGCCATTATCCAAGAATCCTTCTTAGAAACTGACCATGGGATGGGGATCCCAGCATTTCTTTCCCTGGGTTATGAGTTCACGCATGGTGGTTGTTGGCCCTGGACTCTGGAGCTGGAGTTTAACCTGACCCAGGTCACTATACATGACACCTGATTGTTCATATGAAGTCTGGGAAGTGAGCCCTGGCTCCCTTCACTAACTCTCCCAATATCTCTCCACTTTCCTCCTTTCCATCTTTTCTTCTTTGTATTTCTGAAATCTTCTCTTATTCCTGTGTTACTTGCTGGTTGCAGCCTCCTCCTCTCTCCCTTGGCCCTTCCCATAGACTTGGCCTCCACTCACCTACAATGAGCTGCCATCTCCCTGCCCTCCCTCCCACAGACGACTTCTTTCTTTAGCACAGATCTAATCCTTGTTGGCCTAGTTGACCTGTTGCTAGAACTATAGTGCAGCCCTAAGTCCACTTTAGCACGGGCTGTGGGATGAGCTTGTAGCGAAAAGTGAGGAGCCCAGAATTGACTCAGTCAGGGATGAGGAGCCAGAGCCTTCAGGTGGAGACAGGGCCCAGAGATGCACTCAGAGCAGATGAGAGCTAATTGAAGGGAGCAGAGAAAGATGCACTTGGGAGATGGCAGAGAGGTTTGCGATCTGGTCCTGTCAGCGTCCATGTCTGCAGGTGATGTTCCTATTTACACTCAGGTTGGGGCCCTTGACTGGGACCAGGGCAGAATCTTGAAGAAGAGAATAAACCAAGACACACAACATGGTAGGAAGCTCGTCCCCACCTGCCTGTTCATCACTGAGTCCTAATGTGCTCACAACCTCTACACTCAGGCCATGTGTAGATTCTCCCAGAGTGCCATGTCCTGCCTGCTTCCAGTGTGCACACACTGCCCCTCCACCTCAGAGACCCTTCCCTTCTGTCATCTGGATGGAGAAAGTCTCCTCATTTTCACAGTCAACTCTAATGTATCTGCCTATTCAGGCCCCTCTCTGCTTCTACAGCATCTTATATATTCTTTTAAGATAGGGCTTATGGTACACCTGTGTTCATAGCAGACAAAATTTGGAAGCAACGCCAAGTGTCCATGATGAAAGTGACAGATGAATGGATAAACAAATATGGTATATCCTTACCATTAAATGATATTTAGCCTTAAAAAAGGAAAAAAAAACAATGACCATTGATGAACCATGAGGTTATCATGACATATGAAATAAACCAGGCACGAATGGATCCAATAACATATGATTCATTTTTTATGAGGTTCCTGGAGAAATCAAAGACAGAAAGTAGAATCATGGTCCCCAGTGACAGAGGAAGGAGAATGGGCTATTGCTGTTTAACAGGTACAGAATTTCAGTTTTACGAGGGAACATATATTCTGAGGTTAGGTTATACAACAATGTGAATATATGTAACACTATAATCACTTAATATAGTTAAATTAATAAATTTCATGTTACATGTTGGTGTTGTTCAGTCACTCAGTCGTGTCTGACTCTCTGTGACTCACATGGACTGCAGCACACAAGGCCTCCCTGTCCATCACCAACTCCTGGAGCTTGCTCAAAATCATGTCCATCGAGTCAGTGATGCCATCCAACCATCTCATCCTCTGTCATCCTCTTCTCCTGCCTTCAATATTTCCCAACATCAGGGTCTTTTCTAATGAGTCAGCTTTTCCCATCAGGTGCCAAAGTATTGAAGCTTCAGCTTCAGCATTAGTCCTTCTAATGAATATTCAGGATTGATTTCCTTTAGGATTGGCTGGTTTGATCTCCTTGCATTCCAAGGAGTCCAAGACTCTTGAGAGTCTTCTCCAACACCACAGTTCAAAAGCATCAGTTCTTCGGTGCTCAGCCTTCTTTATGGTCCAACTCTCACATCCGTACATGACTACTGGAGAAACCATAGCTTTGAATATACAGACCTTTGTCAGCAAAGTAATATCTCTGCTTTTAATATGCTGCCTAGGTTGGTCATAACTTCTTTTAAGTAGCAAGTGTCTTTTAATTCCATGGCTTTAGTCACTATCTGCAGTGATTTTTGGAGCCCAAGAAAATAAAGTCTCTCACTGTTTCCATTGTTTCCTCATGTATTTGCTATGAAATGAGGGGGCCAGATGCCATGATCTCAGTTTTTTGAATGTTGAGTTTTAGGCCGCTTTTTCACTCTCCTCTTTCACTTTCATCAAGAGGCTCTTTAGTTCCTCTTCACTTTCTGCCATAAGGGTTGTGTCACCTGCATATCTGAAGTTATTAGTATTTGTCCTGGCAATCTTGATTCCAGCTTGTGCTTCATCCATCCGGCATTTTGCATTAAGTACTCTGCATGTAAGTCCAAAAAAACAGGGTTTTGACTTTTTTGGACTTAACAGCCTTGACATACTCCATTCCCAAAGTTGAACCAGTCTGTTGTTCCATGGCTGGTTCCAACTGTTGCTTCTTGACCTGTATACAGGTTTCTACATGTATTTTGCTACAATTAACATAAAAGATATAGCACCTGTGCTATGCTTTGTAATTTTGAGTTTGTATCTCACAGAACCCTGAGGTTTCTTAAGTTCAGAGAGCATCTTATTTTCATCCTTGTTCCCTAGAGAGTGGCATTTTACAGGTACAGAGAGGGTGCTGGGAACTGCTGGCTAGGAGAGTAACACACACATGTGAACAACCAGTAACCTAAACATACTCACAAGACAACTGGGTAAGCAACAGATTACATTTAAATAATCACTCTTTAAAACTCTCCACCACAGACACACCTAGAGGACTATAGCCTTGATATAATGAATGATACCCTTGTGACATGAAAGAATAAATATTCAACTTAATGCCCCAAAGAGACTTAGGGAGCAACTTCAGTTAGTCACTGAGCAAAAGTTGGCTCCTAATTATTTCCAGTCTCATTGTAGGTCAAGAAGAAGGTGAGGACTTCTGTGTTTGGAAACACTGACCACAGCTCTTGATGCAGGCCTGTCCCTGAGAGTGCTATTGGCAAATCAATGTTTGATTACTCATAACTCTGTGTCCATCAGATTTCACCTTGTAAATATAATTCCATTAATTTGTGTGTTTCTTCCAAAGCCATAAAATATGAATTATCTTAGAAACTTCATATCCAGCTTAGGAACATAACAGTTTTGTATTCTTCCATCTTCAGTTCAGTTCAGTCACTCACTCATGTCTGACTCTTTGTGACCCCGTGAATTGCAGCATGCCAGGCCTCCCTGTCCATCACCAACTGCCAGAGTTTACTCAAACTCATGTCCATTGAGTCAGTGATGCCATCCAGCCATCTCATCCTCTGTCGTCCCCTTCTCCTCCTGCTCCCAATCCCTCCCAGCCTCTGGGTCTTTTCCAGTGAGTCACCTCTTCGCATGAGGTGACCAAAGTATTGGAGTTTCAGCTTCAGCATCAGTCCTTCCAATGAACATCCAGGACTGATCTCTTTTAGGATGGACTGGTTGGATCTCCTTGCAGTCCAAGGGACTCTCAAGAGTCTTCCATCTTAAATCCCCCCAAATCATAGGACTATCTGAGATTCTAAAATGTTTGAGGGAACATTTAATTTGGAGACTGAATTGATAAATATGACAATCTGACTTTTGATCTGTGCCTTGGTCCACTCAGCATCACCATTACCTTCACTTCTGTGTTGTGAGATGATACCCATGCACTGTGCTCTTGAAGTGATTTCACTCCACCTGTGTACAACCCAGTTTTCCTTTCCTACTCACCTGTCCCAGTCCTGTCACTCCAGGACATGCCTTTGGTGTTGGCTTTGATTAAGAAAGGCTGCTGCAGGAGAGGGGAGGACTTGGGAGTGAGCCCACCCAGTGGAAGGGGTGCTCTTTGTCTTTCTGCCATGTCCTCCGTTGTCCTGATTCATGGAAGTTAAAGTTAATAGGAAAGTATAGTTGGTACTATGCTGGTTTTTAATTCATGGAAGAAATACCAAGTAAAAATAAAGATCCAGAATGAGGTAAATGCAACCCTAGGCTACCTGGGTAGATTCTGAACTTGGGCTGCATTTCTCATTTAGGTTATTTTTGGTTGATTTGATAATTTTAAAAAGTCCTGGGCAATTTTAAAGCATTTTCCAGCTCTAGAGGTAGATTGATTTTGCTTTGTTATTTTTTTCTTGCTCAGAAGTATTACTTGAATTTTTACAGATGCTTTCTATAATGTGTAAAAATATTGGTTTCCTGCATTTTCTCCTTTTTTTTACATAATATTTTCTCAGCAACCCCTCCCCTCACTTCCAGTTTGTCCCACTTTCCCTCCAAGTTTCCTGATTCCTTGTGACTCAGACTGTGTTTCCAGGGTCAGTATCACCTGCATCTCTTCGATCTTCTTATACAGAATCTCAGGCTCACTCAGACCACTTTCTCAGCGTTGCATTTGAACAGAACCTTCCGAGAAAGTCCTTTCTCTCCCATAGGCAGTTTTTGATGACACATAACCCATGATTCCCAAGAAATGTCCTTTGACAGTTTGAAACCAAACTCATGAATCACCGAAATGCCTGCTGTGTTTGAGTATGAGGTCCTGGATCGTTCTGCAGCACTTAATACCCTATAGATTTATTTACTTTCATATTTTGCAAATCACACCCTTACATTATAATCCAATTCTGTATGATCCCACTTCCCCACGCAGTAGCATATGTGCAGCTCTTTCACCTCCTGATGGGATCCAAAATAAGTCTTGCTCCTCAAGCAGGGCACGAAGTCTGTTTGGCCTGTCCTCCAGGCACCACGTGTCCCACTTAGCTGCAGGTTTCTCTCCCAGCCCAACTGTGGGTACAGGTTCTTCCTGCAGACAGCCAACCCACCTGACCTCACGTACCCTTTTTGCCCAGCAACGTCATCACTGTTGTCCCACCCACCACATTATATGCATCCATGTTCATGTTATGCTTCAACTCTCCCATCATAACATCTGTATGTTAGACCTGTTCCTTTAACTGCAACTATACGTCTCCCCGCTTTCTCTGTTTTAGCTACACAGAGGGACATGATAAAGTGACAAGCTATCCAGGTGATAAGAAAACCATCAGCAGATGGAAAAGAGGCCAACATATGTGGACTTGGGTCCCGTCTCGTGACTTGTAGGCTCTGTTATTTCAGGCAGACTTAGTTGCCTGGCACTTTAGGCATGGCCTTAGTTGCCAGGCCACTTAGACGGCCTGATACTTTTATCTTGTCCCTCTGTGTAGCTAAAACAGAGAAAATGGGAAGAGGTGTAGCTGCAGTTAAAGGAACGGGTCTAACATAGTGATCTTATGACAGGAGAGTTGAAGCATAATATGAACATAGATGCATAAAATGTGATGGGTGGAACAAGAGGGATGACTTCACTGAGCAAAGAGGGTACCTGATGTCAGGTGGGCTGGCTGTCATGAGTTTGAGCAAACTCCAGGAGTTGGTGATGGACAGGGAAGCCTGGCATGCTGCAGTCCATGGGGTCACAGAGTCGGACACGACTGAGCAACTGAACTGACTGACTGAAGTAATCTTATGCGGTCTTCCCAGGTGGCTCAGTGGAAAAGAATTCACCTGTAATGCAGGACACGGGTTCAGTCTGTGAGTCAGAAAGATCTCCTAGAGAAGGAAATGGCTACCCACTCTGATATTCTTGCCTGGGAAATCCCATAGACAGAGGATCCTGGCAGGCTACAGTCCATGGGGTCACAAGAGAGTCAGACACAACTTGGTGACTAAACAACAATGACAACAACATAATTAAGGAAAGAGTTTATTCTGTTTTTCAAAAGTAGCACAGCTGGCATTCAGGTACTGAATGTGGTCCTTAAAATGAGGGACTGAGTCATGAAGCATTGCAGGGGAAGAATCTTCAGGTCTTGACACCACACCGCACTTGGGGAAAACTGGAAGTAAGGTAAACATTTTGAGCCTATGAGCCTGGGAAAGAAGTAATGAGATTAGAGTGGGGAAGTCAGAGGAAGCGGCTGTTTTGTGTGGGCCATTGGGTGTTGATCATGTTAGGTTTGGTATTGAAGAGAGATTTAGATGCAAATGTCTAACAAGTTGGTGTGGTCATCAGAAACCAACACCTCTGTGGTCTAGGAAAACAGCAAGGAGCCATCACAAAGCAGCTAAAATAACCTTATTTTGTCTCCAAATGTCTTTTTGTTAGGAATGCAAATTTATTCATGCTGGTGACACTCTGCATGGGCAATTGGTAAAACACATTGATGACCTGGGAAAGACTTGAGACTATAGTTTTGATTACTGAATGGTAGAAATAGGCAAAGCCCGGTTTTCTTTGAGTTGCCTTTTTCTTACTCTCCTCACTGGGGTTTGGAGCTCACAGTCCTGTTGTTGTGAGCAGCCTGTGGTGCACCTGAGAATCTTGGCCATTTGCCAAGAGTTTGTTCCTGTTTGCACAGGTGAATCAGTTTCAGTAGAACTGAGAGTGTGGAAACATACATTCTCATAGACACAGTTCTCACCTGTGTCCTGATTTGTGTTGATTTATATATGGGAACAGCCAGAAATACAGACATACCGGGTTTGATTGTGCCTCACAAATAGTGCTGCTTCTTTTTTTTTTTTTAATAAATTGGGCATTCATGGCAACCCTGCTTTGAGGAAATGGATCAGCACCGTTTTTCCTACAGCATTTGCTCAATTTGTATCTCTGTCACATTTTGGTGATTCTTGCAATATTTCAAACTTTTTCATTTAGCTTTTGTTGTAGTGATCTGAAATTTAATGTTACTATAACCCCATAAAGGCTCAGATAATGGTTAGTGTTTTTATAACAATAAAGTATTTGAAAATTAAGGTATGTACATTGTAGACATAATGTAGACTATAATATAGTGTCAATATTGTGATATTTATATTACTGAGGTGGTCTGGAACCAACTCTGCAATATCTTTGAGGTCTGTCTGTACACAGAGCACAGGCGTTTTATATATATACATATGTATGTATGTATGTATACACATACACACACACACACACACATACATCCATACATACCCTAGACCTGCCTATGTACAGAGACTGGTCCATCTATATTATATAAATTAGAGTTTAATATAAGGTACAAAATGGCTACAAAGATAATAAAATTAGGTAAGCCTTCTTTTCTTACATTTAACCTCTATAATGATAAATTATTTTTTTAAATGCCATGACTGATTTTACAGACTTAAGATTCAATACTTTGGAGACATTCAAGTGAGAAAATATGAAAGCTTCTGAGCATGGGCATTCTGATAACAGTTCTCAGAAAAATTTAGTTCTATGTTTGAATCCAAGAGTTTTAAAAATTTACTGAGTTAATTGACAAATGATTGAACACATGTCTTATACCCTTAATTGATCCCAAATCCCTAAATAGAGATGAAGTCATCTCTTGGGAAGCTCCCACCAGGGAATTTGCACTTGAGCAAGCTCATTGGTCAGAAAAAAAAGTCTCTGCATACATATTAAATGCACACAGTTAAAAGCGAGTCTTCACAGTATAGTTTTATTCCCCACCAACATTTTACCTATATTATACAGACTCTTTAATCTTACTGTTAGTACACTTAGTTTTTCTCTGCTTTTTAAAAAAAATCTTTAAATTTTATATTATAGTTGATTAACAGTGGTGTGTTAGCTTAACGTGTATAGCATAGTGATTCAGTTATACGTATACATGTGTGTATTCTTTTTCAAATTCTTTTCCATTTAGATTATTACATAGCATTGAGCAGAGCTGACTGTGCTATACAGTAGGTCCTTGTTGGTTATCCATTTTAAATATAGCAGTGTGTACATGTCAAACCCAAACTCCCTATCTCTGTTCTGGTTTTAATAACTAGACTGACACTTGACATGTATCTTTCCAAGATTCAGTTGTAAGTATTAATATGTTATAAAATGCCTTTTGAGCTGCTCAAATGAAAGGCCCCATATAAATAATAAACATTGTGTTGTCGTTGACTCATTATGTGTATTCTGTCTATTGGCTACTGTCTTTTAAGACACTGAGAACTGCATTTTATAATTTTAAGATGTTTCCTTTCAAGATAGAATATAATCAAAATATTTAACATAAGTGATTTAATTTCTCTACCAAAGAATAATTCCTCTTAAATAACAGATCCCTGAAAAAGTGAGTATTTGGTTATGTATCACACTTCTGACTAGACTTGACATCTCTGTAAAATTACCCATATAATTCTAAAAGTCAAAATACCCAGACAGGTAGGGATAAAGCTAATTTATAAGCTGACTTCTTATGGACCACTTAGAAGACTGTTGGCTTTTCACTGCTAGTGTATTGATTCTGTTAGTTTTAACTTGTCTTGTGACCATGGGGTCCCAACCAGGGGACACTTGTCAATACCTGAAATTTTTGGTTGCCATAGTTTGTGGGGTGCTTCTGGTATCCAGTGGGTAGAGTCCAAGGCTACTTTTAACCCTCCAGAAATATACAGGGTAGTCCCCCATCCCCTCAACAAAATATCAATAGTGCCATCCATGTTTGAGAAACTTAGAGACTACTCTTTATATAGAACTTTCTAAAATCATCTTCAGCAATCAGATTTTCTGCTAGGTTGGTTGTATAGTTAATTCTTAATCCTTCCTGGATCTCTTCACAGGTTGGCATTGTGGGAAGAACAGGAGCTGGAAAAAGTTCTGTCATCGCTGCCCTTCTTAGATTGTCAGAGCCTGGAGGTAATATTCTGGTTGATAACATCTGGACAGATGATATTGGACTTCACGATTTAAGGAAGAAAATGACAGTTGCACCTCAGGTATGCACATCAGAGTATTCTCGCGTGTTCTTTTTATGAGGCAGCTGATTTAATTGCTTTTAATTTGATTGTTTTTTTTTTTCAAATTGCATGAAAGCTTGATCCTTTTTCTCCCAATAGAGAATATTTTTAGCAGCAAGTATTTTCAACAGGCATTTTATCAGATACCAGACTTTGTTTATTCGTTCATTTGTTTCTTTTGTGTGCATGTTATTTAATAGCTGACCCAGACAGATTTCTGGACTTAGACTTTCTTAGGTGTCACGATTTTGTCTGTTGATAACCACATAATTCTAAGACAAAATGATAACTGGTTTGTGCAGCACTGGAGAGGTTCCTATAGGGAAACCTGAATTTTGTGTTTTAATGATGGAATTTTGTTGTAGGAAATAAAGCCACTTTTTCAAGAGTGATTATCTCCCTGGAGGACTTTCTGTGAAACTGTGAGGCTTTGAGAATTATAGGGTGTATAGATGCTTTGGGGAGTCTTTTAGAATTCAGCTATTAGTAAATTATTTTGACCAGGGAGGCAGTACAAAATAATGAGTTAGAACAGGGGACTTGGAATTCCATCTTTGTGTACCTCAGTTTTTTCTCCCTTACAAGGCAGCTAACAGTCCAACTCATTGAGCTGATGTGAGGGCTAAATGGGCCAGTGCATGTGCGGTGCTTCATGTAGACCCCATACATGATGGTTGTGATGATGAAGCTTTGAATTGATCATCTCTTCCTGGGCTCTGATTCTGTTTTCCTTTGTTCTGATTCTTTGTTTTTGTTTATTTTGTATGGTTTTTTTTTTTAGTTCATTGTTTTTGTTCTTATTGCTAAAGAAATATGATTTTTAGGGAGTGTTTTAGAGGCTGAATTATATAAATATGCACAATAGAAACTCCTGAAAGTTAAAAATAGTATTATCATCAGTTCAGTTCAGTACAGTAGTTCAGTCATGTCTAACTCTTTGTGACCCCATGGACTGCAGCACGCCAGGCTTCCCCGTCCATCACCAATACCCAGAGCTTGCTCAAACTCATGTCCATTGAGTCAATGATGCCATACAACCATCTTAGCCTCTTAACCTCTGTCATCCCCTTCTCCTCTGCCTTCAATCTTTCCCAGCATCAGGGTCTTTTCAAAATGAGTCAGTTCTTTGCATCAGGTGGCCAAAGTATTTGAATTTCAGCTTCAACATCAGTCCTTCCAATGAATATTCATGATGATTTCCTTTAGGATGGTCTGATTGGATTTCCTTGCAGTCCAAGGGACTCTCAAGAGTCTTCTCCAACACCACAGTTCAAAAGCATCCATTCTTTGGTGCTCAGCTTTCTTTATAGTCCAACTCTCACATCCATACATGACTTCTGGTAAAGCCACAGCTTTGATTAGATGGACCTTTGTTGGCAAAGTAATGTTTCTGCTTTTTAATATATGCTCTCTAGGTTGGTCATAACTTTTCTTCCAAGGAGCAAGTGTCTTTTAATTTTATGGCTGCAGTCACCATCTGCAGTGATTTTGGAGCCCAAGAAAATAAAGTCTCTCACTGTTTCCATTGTTTCTCCTATCTATTTGCCATGAAGTGATGGAACTGGATGGCATGATCTTAGTTTTCTGAATGTTGAGTTTTAAGCCAACTTTTTCATTCTCCTCTTTTACTTTCATCAAGAGGATCTTTAGTTCTTCTTTGTTTTCTGCCATAAGGGTGGCATTATCTGCATATCCGAGGTTATTGATATTTCTCTAGGCAAACTTGATTCAAGCTTGTGCTTCATCCTGGCCAGCATTTCACATGATGTACTCTGCATAGAAGTTAAATAAGCAGAGTAACAATAAAACAACCTTGACGAACTTCTTTCCCGATTTGGAACCAGTCTGTTGTTCCATGTACGGTTCTAACTGTTGCTTCTTGAACTGCATACAGATTTCTTAGGAGGCAGATCAGGTGATCTGGTATTCCCATCTTTGTGAGAATTTTCCAGTTTGTTGTGATCCACACAGTCAAAGGCTTTGGCGTAGTCAATAAAGTATAAGTAGATGTTTTTCTGCAACTCTTTTGCTTTTCCGATGATTCAGCGGATGTTGGCACTTTGATATCTGGTTCCTCTGCCTTTTCTAAATCCAGCTTGAACATCTGGAAATTCATGATTCATGTACTGTTGAAGCTTGGCTTGGAGAATTTTGAGCGTTTCTTTGCTAGTGTGAGAGATGAGTGCAATTGTGCAGTAGTTTTAACTTTCTTTGGCATTGCCTTTCTTTGAGATTGGAATGAAAACTGACCTTTTCCAGTCCTGTGTACTCTGCATATAAGTTAAATAAGCAGGGTGACAATATACAGCCTTGACATACTCCTTTCCCAATTTGGAACCAGAATTATCATATGATCCTGCAATTCTATTTTAGGTTATATACCCCAAATATTGAAAGCAGGGTCATGCAGAGATCTCTATATATTTGTGTTCATAGCAACATTATTCACAATAGCAAAAACATGGAGTCAGCTAAGGTTCCATTGACAGATAACTGGAAGAACAAAACATGGTGTATATATATATACACAATGGAATATAATTCAGCCTTAGAAAGGAAGCCAATTCTGACACATGCTACAACAAAGATGAACCTTGAGTAAACTATGTTAAGTGAAATAAGCCAGTCACAGATGATAATTGCTGTATAATTCTATTAATATGAAGTACCTGGATTAGTCAGTTCATAGAGACAGGAAGAATGGTGGGTTTCTGGAGTTGCAGGGAGGGGAGTTGTTTAATGGCTATAGAGTTTCACTTGTGCAAAATGGAAGGAGTCTGTGGCTGGATGGTGGTGATGGCTGTACGATAATGGGAATGTATTTAATACCACTTAAATGTACACATAAAGTCATTAAGGTGGTAAATATTATGTGTTGTTGTTGAGTCACTAAGTCATGTCTGACTTTTTGCACCACATGGAGTATAGCCTACCAGGCTCCTCTGTCCATGGGGATTTTCCAGTCAAGAATACTGGAGTGTGTTGCCATTTCCTTCTGCAGAGCTTCTCAACCCAGGGATCAAACCCACATCTCCTGCATTGCAGGCATTGGCAGGCAGATTGTTTACCACTGAGCCACGCTATTTTGCCACAGTTTAAAAAGAGTTTTTAAAAGATATCCCTTTCAGGAAAAATGGGAAGAAATTTTCAGCACCTGTAACCCTTGTATTTAAAGATTTCCTCTGGCTACCAGATTCATGACTTAGTGGTTGCAGTAGAATGCAAGAAGTTTAGATTCCCAAGTTTTGATTGTACCAATCTCTGAAATGAATCAAATGAGACTAGTTAGCAGAAATAGTGTATGTGTCTAAGTCCTTTTATATCCTCAGATGAAAGAATCTATAAATGTGCCCTGTGTTATTTTTAATACCTCTTTAAAAAAAAAAAAAAAAGGTTGTATGCTTGTGTATATAAGAGAACTTTATCAATAAAGAAAAATGGGATGATTCTTGGCCCTGCTGGTAATATTTGGAATTACATCTGAGCAAAGACTAAACATCCTCGACATCACCAGGTTTTGGTTCTATTCCATCAGTCTCGACCCTACTTTTGATCATGCTTTGTGTACACACTCCGGAGGAGGAGGAGAACATGATTACAAAACAGTGCTAAACTTTGTATTCAGGTGGATAATGATGACCAAGCATTATAACTACAAAACTTATTATTCCACTTTATATGCCTTTGTCTCCAAGGCACAATGTTGGTTGATTAAAGAGAGTTTCTGGAGAGACCCCACAATGTGTAAAGTTCTCAGGAAATGATACAGACGGAAGCCAGGGATAGAATGTTTAAGGGTTTAAATCAAATGTCAGCATGACCCACATTTTAATTCCTGCTCTGCCTCTTGTGACTGTGAGGACTTGATGAAGTCACTTAGTTTCCAAATTTCAGACTCCCTGTCCTTAAGCTAGATCTAGGAATTACTGCTGCACAGGTGTGTTGTGAAGATGTAGCTGGGTGAAAAAATGTTTGTGTCCCATATCTGGTTCTTGAGAAAGCTCAGTCAGTAGTAATTATCATTATTCTTAAGGATTAGGGCACTGGACTTTCAGATATTATTTCTACTTAAATAAAAAGAGTAACACATTCTGAAAACAATTTTGCTTTTCAATTTCTATTTATGTTTTTGTGTGTGTGATTTTCTTTATATTTATTGGTTATAAACCAAATTATTTATATAAATTTAAACAGTAAAGCAAAAAATAAAAACCAGAAAAACACCCCCCACCAACCTGACACACACAATAAAAGTTTTGGGGAAAAGTAAAACAGAAATATATGTCTAAGCTCTTTTCTATGAGGAACAAGAGAATATCAATTTTTAATTTTGTTTTGATTTCATATTCCCCTCCAACTAGATTCTTTCTTGACCACCACCCTGTACCCACTCATACTTTCCAGTCCCCCACCAACACCTTTGGCCTTTTTCTCAGCCCTCCCCACATTCTTGACTATGATCTCCCTGTCCTTGAGGACGGGGCCTGTGTCTCTCATTTCTGTTACTCCAGTGCTTGTTGCAGACTCTGACAAGCTACACAGGTATTAGTAATATTTCCAAAGGTTTGTGGAATCCTTAACAGGTTTTAGCCTTTATCCCTACATGTCCCTGGTGTCTCAGATGGTTAAGCGTCTGCCCGCAATGCGGGAGACCCCGATTCGATCCCCAGGTTGGGAAGATTCCCCTGGAGAAGGAAATGGCATCCCACTCCAGCACTCTTGCCTAGAAAATTCCATGGATGGAGGAGCCTTGTGGGCTACAGTTCATGGGGTTGCAAAGAGTCGGACACGACTGAGCGGGACTTCACTTTCTTTCACTAACCATGTCCTAGTTAATCCTCACAATCCTCATGTTTTCCTTATCTGACAGATTTAAAAACCAAGACATGTGAGTTTAGGGCATCCTTGGTGGCTCAGCAGTAAAGAATCTTCCTGCCAATGCAGAAGACATGGGTTTGATCCCTGGGTTGGGAAGATTC